TGGAGTAACAAAATATTATCAAAGAAGAGAGACTTGCAACAACTGCTACAAATGAAGTTGGAAAGAACAACCTAGCCCTTAAAAACACCTGTGAAGCAAATGATTGGGTGAGTCACCGAGAAGATGGCCAATGGGCACATAGGGAATTTTTTCTCTCAATATTCACAAAAATGTAAAAGTGCAAATTAAGGTAAAACAATGTACCATTCACTCACAAAAGTATCAAAACATTAAAAAAGCATATGCTATTAAGCCTAAATGAATGTGAAAGAGCACAGGAATTCTGAATTCCTACACTTTGAAGGGTAAATAATGTGGTCTTCTTTTAGAGCAGGGTCCTATCACTTTTCTCATGCAGTAAACAATTCAGGTTTTGAGGGCCATAAAACAACATCAAGGGTTTTATGTGAGTACCTAGTTATACAACCATGTAAAGATGCAGAAACCATTTGTGACTCACAGGCTATACAAATCTGGGTGGTGAACCAGATTTGGTATTTAGATTGGGAGGTCTAGAGCTATTGGGACAATATCCAAACCTGGGCATAGATCCTAGAGAAAGTCTCATGAGAATGCACATAGTATGTGGATGTATTGTGGCACTGAAGCCTCAGCCTTTGGAAAACTGCAAGAATTTTTAGGGAACAAGACAAATAAACCAACGGACTAGCATCTGCTGTATATTCTAATGTCCTAGGAATTAGTTTCATGTATGTTAAGATGAAGAGAATATTAGCAATAAATATAATTGCAGAATCCATAATGAGCTTAATACATTTATTCTGATAATCATTTCTATTAATCATGTCAGGAGAAGAACACATGACCACATATAGCTTGCTTTCAGTATGGTGTAAGACACCCATTGATAGCTGCCAGCACATGTGGAGCAGGGCCTTGTAAACTAAAATATACTAATAATAATCTTTTAACTTTATAGTACAAAACATATTTAAGATTATAACTTTAAATTTAAAACAGTATGTATATATATATATATATACACACACACACACACGTGTGTGTGTGTGTGTGTGTGTGTATGTTTTATAGATGCCTATGTGTGGCAAATCTCTGCATTTCATTGATTTGAAGACATATTTACTTCTGCATTTCAACCATTCTAAAATAAGAATGAGCCTTGTCATTGCTCAAAGAATCTTCAAGAGTGCAAGGACAGCTAACATATACACGGAACTCTGGGATTTACTTGAATTAGGCATTATTATTCTTACTTTCAGGTTTGACTCTGTAGAACCGTGAAGGAAGCTAACGGGTACATTCAAAGTCCCAATTTCAGTGACCAGTAGAACTAATCTGGCTTCTGGGCTCCCGCTTCATGCTCTCGTCTGTACCACATTTACCAAACAGCTTTTTGTTGACACAAAGACTTTTCAATTCTTGATTGCTTTACAGATTTCAAAAAATTGTCAATAAAATAACAAATGATAAAAATTTAAAAATTATAATGAAAAATGGCAATATGCATTTCAGACACACATAAATCAGCACAAGAAAGGATGGAATATAAGGTAGATTTTCAGGTTGATTTCTGTACATTCTGAAGTTCATGCATCTTTGAGTGTGCTTAAGTAATAATTAATAATTAATGCCATATTTGGTTACCCAAATTTTAGATTGCCCAAAAAGGTTGTGTGGAAGTTTTAACACCATCATTCATTCTATAAGTGATTGTTGTAGAATTTTAGCTAAAAATTACTTTCCTAATAATGTACCAGGGTAGATACAGTTTCTCCTGGCTTTTACCCTTCATGACTCTGAGTTACTCAAATCTATGTCTGAGTGTGATAATTTGCAATGAGGATAGCACACAGTTATATTATCTTAGTGGAACAAATAATTAGATTGATTATCAGAAGGCAGCTAGATTAATTATTCATGTGCATTGTTGATGTCCATTAAATCTCTCCTACATTTATCCTATGGTCAATAGTCTTCAAGTTGCTCCAGTGCCAGAGTGATTTAAAAACATGGTAGGTGCTTACTAAGCATTAGTAAAATGCATTAGTGAGTGAATGAGTGAGTGAATAACTGATAAATGAACAAGTGACACAGACACAGACTTAAACATGCTGGAAGGGAGGGTACAAAAGTCCTAGAAACAAGGCACACATACCAGCACAGCCATACACGAACTCTGGAAGCCAGGCCCCATCCCCACTGTCCATCATTCTTAGCTCTCACGAATACATATAAAGTCAACTCCATGTAAACAATGTCCATGCTATTTCTAGATGACTCTACCATTTGAACCCCTGACTTTGTACTACTTAACCAAGTATCTTTGTTTTGTTGGGCATATGTTAGTCTTGAAAGACTTTGTCTACAGTAGAGGCCATTTCTAAATTATCACACATAACTTCTCAAGTACTTACTATTCCTAAATAGGACATTATAGGTGGTAAGTAGTTTGTTTTATCTGAGTGAGTCTTTTCTCAAGGTCAGATTTGATTTTGACATGCTCAATGACAACTTTCAACTTCATTATCTAGGGAGCAACAAGCAGGCCTAAAACTTTAGCTTTTAAGACCAGCCAGAGGGTGAGAATATTCTGACAACCATTTAAACTTAGAGTGATATCAGGCAAATTTCTAAACTTCTCTAAGCCTCAATTTCATCATCAACTACTTTATAAGATTTTGTTATCTGACTGTCCAAAATATCAAAACTAGCGTCATAAAGTGTTTTGCCACATAATAAATAGTGGCAGTGAGTTTTATTTCATCCATTCTTGAAAAAGGATAACATATGGACCCATGATTTATAACTGTTATTATAATATTATAGGATAAGATTAAATAGAAACAAATACATGATTTATAGATGCACATTTGGTAATAGGAAGGCATGGGAATTACTTCTTCAGTATAGTAGAGGCAGTATTTCATAGGTATCTTCCCCTGTTTTTAATTCAGTGAAAATTATTTGTCTTCTGTGATTGAAGAGAACAATCTATATGAGTGACAGAATCCAATCTCTTTCCTGAATTTTGGCATTCTGTTTTCTTGTGCTCTCATAATAGTTTCAGCTATGCTTTTATTTTCTCTCCTGTGCTTCACTGCACTGAACACAGTACAGAAACACCATAGATTTCTAATTAACTAACTGTACCCTGAGGTCTCCAGCTGCTGTTCCAGTTTAATTACAGCTGTGAAGAGGATGTGGTAAAATTGATGAGACCATTGCTATGTGATAAAACAATACAGCAATAATGTAGCTCAATTTTGATCTGTAAATGTGACTATGTGTGAATATGGAAGGTAGTTAAATTGACGTGTGACTATGAGGTTTCCATTTGCTTTGTTTTGTATTCCCCCATCCAAGCATATGTACCTGATGGAAACTATAATGGTCTCATTTAACCAGACTGAAATATAATCCTCAAGAAGTTCTTTGATTTGTAGCATTTAGCGTGGTGGCAGGAGTTACCACCTAAAACCTAAGATTCTAAAACCGAGCTAAAAACAGTTCCTAATTGTCTCTCTCAAATGAGCAGCAGCTGCCGGTTTGAGCTACTGGCGGGTTCCTGGTGTGTGCGCTTGACCTGCAGTATGGCAGGAATGAGGCCTCTGCAAGTGGCACATTAAGCTGCTTGGTGGATTTAGCCTTTGCTGGTACAAAACAAAAAAAAGAGGTTTCTGGGCTACACGCTGCTTGGCTAAAAGCATAGACCCCCGATAGCTCCCAGAGCTGGCGGTAAACCATGGCCATGTTGGGAAGCTGAGGTGGGTGGATCCAGCAGCCACAGCTGCTGCAGTTTAAGGCAATAGATTCACAATAAGACAGATTCAGATGTAATAGTTTACAATGTGTGTAAAAAGATACGTAGGCTTGAAAGAGACAAAAAAGATGATATATAGAGTTATAGAAATAAATACATAGTTTTAAAAAATAAAGTCTTTAAAGAGACAGTAAAGGTAGTATAAAAAATAAGCCACGTAAAAATGGATATTACACAGAGAATCTGCATTGTGTTGTCTTTGGGACTTTTAACTGCAGAAAAATATTTGATTGTAAAAGCTGTTGAGTTATGCCAAAATGTATATTTTAAAGGTACCTTGACTTCAAAATTTGGATATAAGGATATGTTACTTTGGAAAGGAGACTCTGCTTTTGTTTCCACAGAAAGCCAGAGGCTATGGATTTGTTCAAGATTAAGATACATCAGGTTTGACCAGCCAAGACCCCCTGAAAGGTCTCCGATGACACCATGGCCCAGATGATCCAACATCCAGAACGATTTGAAGGCAACTGGCTCAGACGATACAGCCCCATGGACTATTTCATAATCCTAAAATTTTCTTTGTTTCCCCATAAGATACAGCGCCCCCCTCCAGCAGGAAGTAGTAAGAGAAGCTACGCCCAAATTCCCAAATTATATGTAATTTTACTTTGTTAAGGTTAAAACCTTCCTTTTTGAAAAAAAAAAAAAGGGGAAGTGCTGTGGGATGTTTTGTATGTCAAATGTGTTGCTGATTAGTCAATAATTAAAACACTGATTGGCCATTGGCTAGGCAGGAAGTGTAGGCGGGACAAGGAGGAGAATAAAGCTGGGAAGTGGAAGGCTGAGTCAGAGAGACACTGCCAGCCGCCACGATGAGAAACAGCATGTGAAGATGCCGGTAAGCCACGAGCCATGTGGCAAGGTATAGATTTATAAAAATGGATTAATTTAAGCTGAAAGAACAGTTAGCAAGAAGCCTGCCATGGCCATACAGTTTGAAACCAATACAAGTCTCTGTGTTTACTTGGTCGGGTCTGACGGCTGTGGGACTGGCAGGTGAGAGAGATTTGCCCTGACTGTGGGCCAGGCAGGAAAACTCTACCTACAATTTAGAATGGAAGGAATCTCATCCAATGGGATGGCTTTGTAGTTTTCTACTGACTCTTACTTTGAAATTGACAATACAACAAATATCTGGTGATGCTCATTCTATTAGGTGTTTCAAGAGATAACTTAAAAGAAATGATAAACTCACCAGAGTTGCAAAAAGATGATAGAGTATGAAATAGATGGCAACCACTGGTGCCCACATATGTCCTACAGCATTTAGAGTCTGATCCATCACATCCACCCATCCTTCCTGGGTCAGGATCTGGAACATGGACATAAATGCCTATGCAGGAAAAAGAAATGGAGGGTTACACACTCTACTGACTCACAATGTAAGTAACACCTGAATGCAATTAAAATTAGCCCACGAGGAGATGGAGAGATATCTTTGTGGTTAAGAGAACTGGCTATTCTTTTTTTTTTTTTTTTAAAAATTTTATTTTACAATACAATTCGGTTCTACATATCAGCCACGGATTCCCTTGTTCTCCCCCCTCCCGCCCCTCTCCCCTTCCCCCCAGCCTACCCACCGTTCCCACCTCCTCCAGGGCAAAGCCTCCTCTGAGAACTGAGATCAACCTGGTAGACTCAGTCTAGGCAGATCCAGTACCCTCCTCCCAGGCCGAGCCAAGCGATCCTGCATAGGCCCCAGGTTTCAAACAGCCAACTCATGCAATGAGCACAGGACCTGGCCCCATTGCCTGGGTGCCACCCAAAAAGATCAAGCCAATCAACTGTCTCACCCATTCAGAGGGCCTGATCCAGATGGGGGCCCCTCAGCCATTGGTTCATAGTTCATGTGTTTCCATTTGTTTGGCTATTTGTCCCTGTGCTTTATCCAACCTTGGTCTCAACAATTCTTGCTCATATAAACCCTCCTCTTTTTCGCTAATTGGACTCCCGGAACTCCACTCGGGCCCTAGCTGTGGATCTCTGCATCCAGTTCCCTCAGTCATTGGATGGGGTTTCTAGCACGACAATTAGGGTGTTTGGCCATCCCATCACCAGAGTAGGTCAGTTCAGGCTGTCTCTCGACCATTGGAGAACTGGCTATTCTTGCAGAGGACCCAGATTCAATTACCTGCACCCACATGGCAGCTCACACTGTCTATAACTCCAGTACTGGCGGGTGCATTGCCCTCTTTTGGCCCCTGGTGGCACTGCACACATGTGCACAGACAAAAACAAAGACAACACCCCTCTCCCCCCAAAGAAACAAAAAATAAAATTAAAAATGGGAAATAAAATAAAATTAAATTATCCTATGATGATCAGCTGAGGACTTTGTTGTTGGCATTATTTATCCTCTTCTAATCAATCAAGGGAAAGCAATTCATGCAACATGGGAAAAAGCCAATAACAAAGGATTAATTGTTACATCAAACTCTTCAGCTTCAGAAACTAATTATTTTGAATTAAAATTGTTTTTTAAGGGTAAATACCATTGGGAAATGAAATCTTCTCTATCTTTGCTTACACATTGTTTGTTTTCTCCCTTTTCAGAAAGTTATTTTAACATTCCCAACAGATTTTTATTTAGGTTTCCTGATGTTGGTTGTAGAACTGTATTATTTTAAAAGTGAATTATGTGTTTTAAGCGTATAAGAGAATAATAACCTTAATTTTGTTTGCGTGGTATCTATCTATGAAATGATTTCAGCTACCATATTATAGGAACATGTGATGTCTTAAGAAAAAGAAATGTTTCTAAGTTATGCTGAGAGGCTGAGGAACTTAACAAAGACACATTTTTCATGATACTTTTAAAGAATTTAAGGCACAGAGTCAAGATTGCAGAAGAAGCCAAGACTAAAACACCAGGACATTCCAAGAAAGCCAGTCATGCTGAAAGACTTATCCTCTTCCTGCACAGACCTTTGGTTGTTCAGTTTGGAAACATCTTTCTAATTAAGTATATGACTATGTGTCCTGCACATATCAGTGGTCAGTAAATACTTCTTAATGAGAGTTTATGATCATGTCTGGAAAAAGTTTACTCTTCACAATTGTTTTTATAGTCTTTAGTAGAAGAAACCATAAATAGGGTATTAAGGTTCCAAGAAATGAAGTCCAGGATAATAGACAGCCTGAAACAATGATAAAAACCTATGACTGACAAGATCCCAGAGGTGAAAGGACTCTAAAGGTAATTTAATCTGGCTCTTCTTGAAGAGCCAGGCTCAAAGATGATACCAAATTGGGTCAAACTCATTTTAATAATTATTATGCTAGTAGAAGTAGTGGCCAGGTATGATTCAGTAATGTCTAGGATCTTCCACTTTCAGGCCTAAGCACATTTGGTTTCTCTTAGACTATTTCCTTTTTGAGGGCAAAAAAAAAACCTTTTCCAAAGTGTAACTTTTCATGTTAAGAAGACAGTGGGCATATTTGAATAAGAAATAATTAATCCTTAAATAATTTTTTAAAAGAAAAATAACACTTATTTATTGTGTTTATGTATAGGCGTGCATGTGCCATGGTGTGCATCTGGAGGTCAGAGGATAACATGAGGGGAGTCAGTCTCTCCTTCTACCATGTGGGTCAAGGGGATCAAACATAGGTCTTCAGGTTTGCCAGTCCATACTAAATGAGTCTTGAAGTGGTTGGTTGTTTTCCCATTTATCTTCTGTCCAACTGTGGAGTACTTCACTTGAGATCGTCTTGCCCAAATTCTTTTGTCTTATAGAGGTTTTCTTTTTTTGTTGCTCATGGAAATGTGAATTATGTTGCTATTGATAATTGACTCCCAGCATTGCCAGCAGCACTGTAACATTCTCCTTGCTGGGCTGCAGAAGAGGAGGCCATCCTTGGCAAATCTTAGCTTTAACCCACTCTAAAATACTCTATCACTTAACTTTATAAATGTGTCAGCCTTATCACTTAGGCCAATTATTTTTCCCCTTTCCTCTGTTGAATATTTATTATATACAAGCAGCACACATTCCAAAGATGACTCACATGAAAATATCAGATTGCTGTATTTTCCCTACAAAGTTGCTATCAGTGAGAAAACCTATGTACATTTCAGATCCAACAGCAAAAGGTGTCACAGAAAAGCAGCATGATTATATTGGTTGTAGCTGTCTTTCTCCCAAAGTAACAAAAAAACCTTGTAATTAAGCCTGACAGATACCATTCCTGGAATTTTGAGTCCAAGAATCTAGGTCTACTTTTCAAGTGTCTTCATATAAAACAACCTATATGTTTACTAAAATAACTTATGCCAACATCTAGCTTTTATATGTGCATTATATACCCAGGAATATGGAACTGTGGGATTGCAACCTGCTGCTGTGAGACAAACAGTGAGGGCAGAAGACTGAGGTTATCTGCTAAGTTTTTCAGGGTCTTGAAAAACAACAACACAAACAAGCAAACAAAACTTGGTTTCTGCACAGCTCACCTGGAAGCACATATATTATATCTGAGAGCAAAGCTTTTAGTTAAAGTGGGATTTGTGTGTACACTGTTGCTTATGAACTGAAGAAAATGGTAGCATCCCTAAATGGTTCTACTATAGCCTGAAATTAATTTGTGTTTTGTGTAAAGGGTCCTTTAGTTTTCTTGAGTTTGTACCTAGACGTTCCATTTTAATGACAGTTTGAGACAGAGTGAAATATGCCTACTGACATTTTGTGGTTAAGGCTCATGCACCTGGAGGAACCTGCAGCTTGTGTGTTCCAACAGAGATCATTAGTGGTGCATGAAGGTTTGATGCATTGGGATTGAGATGAGTAAGATATGGTGCCAACTCCTAAAACAATTATAAACAGAAGGGAAGAAAATGAACATGACTAAGCAGAGAATGAAAACATGGTGTATGGAGAAATATAACAGAGGACTGTGAAGGTTGCATGGTGGAAGAGCACAAGCCTAACATGCATGAAAAACATGACAAAGCTATCATGGTATTTTTGCAAATGTAAGTTTAAAATTTCTATATGCCATAACTTGGCATTCCTTTCTTTGTTCACTACAACATTAGCTATATATTCACTCAAGGCTTTATGCAATAGTTTACAGTTTATTATATTGAATGTATAAAATCTGAAACAGCTTTTGGACCTGTTTAAAGCTTAAATTTACTATGAAATATGTAACAAGACAGGGATTAATTTAAATTCTTTCTTTACAGTAGGTAATCAGTTGATTGGGAACAATTGAGTAAATCAGTCTTTTCACTAATTTGAAATATCTTTTATCATACATTGCCTACTCATATAGTCATGGTTCTATTACTTTTCTATTCTTTTCCTTCATTCTATTTCATTTCTAAATCGATTAATAATTGAATATTTAATAACTAGTAAGGTTATTAGTCCCTCTTATAACACTTTATTATAAAAATTCATTTACGTGTATTTTCCTAAAATATCCTGGCATTTATTCACTGTGGTCACATTAGATTATCTAATAAAATTTGAAAATGTTCTTAAATTATTTTCAGTGTAGGAAAAGATATTTATTTCTCCTTATTAATCCTCCATATGTGATTCTGAAAAAAGATCTTGTGTAATTCCTGCTCATTTCTAGTGAGTTTGTTTTAATATTAGTTTTCAAAATGTAATCAAGGTGATAGCATAGAATTTAAACTGTAAGTAACAAAAATATTATGATGTGTTTCTTAACAAATACCAGGTGACACTCTCATGTGTGAATAATATAATTCCCTTGTTTTCCCACAGGTCATCATTCTTAAATCAAGTTCACACTTCTTTTGATGTTACCTAGGTCCCTATTCAGTATTTCTTACTTCACACATAGAGATCTATTATGAAACAGGAACATTTAGTTCACACAAGACAACTCCCACTTCCCTTGACGTTTTCTAATTTTGTACCTTACCACTTTCATCTCTCCACTTTTTCGTCTTTTTTCATTCATACATTCACATCCTTGAGTTTGATAATATTTATGTTTTGTCTTTTGTCTTTGGGTTTTAGTAAGCTGGTAAACAATAGATCATTATTAATATGTTGACTAGGAAAATACTGTTCATTCACTATTGAGCAGGTGATGTGCTAAGATATCATTTCCCCCTTCGGAGCTCAGATATCATTTAAACTGTTAGTAACCTTTTATGCGATAACAAAAGGTAAATGATCAGAGTTAAATCGGGCTCCTTTCTTACAGCAATTAATCAAGATCTGGCCCAAATTATTCACATCACTTAACTGTCATTTTTTTTTTTTTGGTGCTGTTTATGCTGAGATTATTCGTATGCCTCAATGGGAAAAGAAATACATTCTTCTACCTAAGATAAGATGACTGCTAGATTCTCAC